ACCATACAATATATGCAGTAATTAATGTTAAAAAGAAATTTTAGTGAAAATAATATTTTTTTTATATATATATATATATATATATATATATATATATATATATATATATATATATATACATATATATATATGTAAGCAAATATATGGATATAGATCCGACATTATGAAGAAGAAAATATACTGAAAAAACAAACAAAAATCTAATATGCAATCATGCTGTTTTAATGTTAACATTAAAACAGCATAATTGCATATAAGGATTTTGTTTGTTTTTTTCCGTATACTTTTCTTCATATATATATATATATATATATATATATATATACACACGTAAGTGGGTATTGAGGTCAACACTGAGCAGCGACAGTCTGTTTCCTTCTTGAACGCATTCTTCAGGTTATTTCAACTATTGCGCCCAAACCTGAACCGTACTATCGCTGCTGTTTGTTGACTTCCGTTTCCACTTAAATTTATATATCCGCTATCCCTGATATTTGCACAAAAATATCATAATGTTATTTAAAATTATAGTTTTATTATATTATCTCTATCGCTCTCTCTTTTACATATATATATATATATATATATATATATACACACATAATTCACTGTTTAAAGGTTCTTGGTCCGACCAAGAATCTGTTACCAATTAACATAAAGTTTGTTCATTGATTCTGGATGATGTCTTTCAGTACTTACTTCGGATATACAAGGATGTACATAAGTAAGTATAGCTTACATAGGAAATATTTATTTTTTAACGTCATATCATTCCATGGTAATGTATATAACCTTACACTATTTTACATTACTTTTACATTAATTATATAGATTATATATACATACACACACGCATATATATATATAATTATTTATATATATATATATATATATATATATATATATATATATATATATAATTATTTATTTAAAAATTATAACATAAATATTTATGTTATAATTTTTATAAAATAAATAATTATATTCGCTCTACTCTGTATTGAGCACTCTTTTAAGAATAGTAATTGTTGGTTATTGGAATTTATTCCGTATACACTAATCATATACTTTGATATATATATATATTATATATATATACGTGTGTTGCTGAAAATTTCTTGACTCGATCAAGCAACAAATGCAATTTTTAAGCTTATTTTTTGTTTATATTTTTGTATTTTTTGACCATATTGGACAATTTATAAGTTTCATCGGAAGCCAGAAAAATTTTCCGATTTATAGAAGAGAAAAATATCCTTATCAAACAACTTTCTTTAGATTTTAACCAAAAATAATATATATATATATATATATATATATATATATATATATATATATAGTAATATTCTAATCGAATAGTAATAAGCTAATAATTTGCAGTCTATGATTAACGCTTCTCATGCAGAGTATAAATATGTTATCTGTTAATAATTCAATAGATTTATCTGACCCTAATGAGCGATGGTTTCGCGAAACTTTGAAGTCGGTCGAAAGATAAACTCATTTAAGCCTTTATTATTTTATTGTCTATAAATATATATATAGTTAACGATATAAAATGAGTGAGGAAATTTTATGGTATAATGAATATACTGTGCCAATTTTTCAAATAGTGTGTCTCAACCTACCTCAAAAATCAGCATTCGAAATCCAATTTATACCTTGCTTGAACACTGACCGCTGGCTCAGCTTGAAAAATATACAACTATTTCAGATACAGAGTAGATCACTTTTTTTGCCTCTTGAGCTCAATAATAGATATACGTGCTTTACTGTATCTGCGTGTGTCTACGTATGTGAGCTAATGTGCTATGTGTGAATATTGTAAGTGTATGAGTATTGTATATGCTTATACATACATATATATATATATATATATATATATATATATATATATATATATATATATATGTATAGTGTGTACATATATCTATCTGTGTGATCGATATGCACGTAAATAAATTGATTGACTGTCGGTTGATGATGTCAAAATACCAATCTAAGCAAGACGAAAGCCTTCTCTTATCTTTCACACTAAGATGTTCTACACTCGCTGACAAGAAATAGATAAACCTATTTCATTGACCTACGTTATATGAAACCGAGATTTTCTTTTCCCTTTTAAGTGACCACATGCCAAAACACAAAGCGTTTCGATTGGTGCAAAATATATAAGAGAGAAAGAAAAAGGTGTCGGGATATAAAAGAAGAGCTGTCAGTGAGATAATAGCGTCATTTTAAGTCAACCTCGTTGAGTGGAAGTAGTTTAATTTCGTTCTTTTATCAGGAAACTTTAAAGCAAAAGATCTAGATAGGTTATTACTTTTATTATTAATTACCCCGTGGGCCAGAGCTCGTGCGTCAACGAATCTTCATTCTCTAAATAAAAAAGAAAGAAAGAAAGATACATGAGAAGCCGAGCAGCTGCGTATTTCTAATGACTCGTTATTTATCGCCGTAGATGTAGTGGAAAGATACGTCTTGTATTCTCGCATCTTCCACCGCCCGTTTCTTTACATCTAATAACCAAAATGACGTTCTAGTTACGCTCATTTTACAGCTAAGTATCCATCATCGAGAAGCTGATATCATTTTTCGGACAGAAGCGAAATAAATGCAGATTTCACAGACACGTCCATCGGAAAGCATCATCTACAGTTTTTATTACTTCTGCTATAAACTATAGGTGTGAACAACTACTATAGAATACAATACTGTATATTATATATTAGCTAGCTGTGCAATTAAGCGGCCAACAACTTTTTTCTATGTGCCGTGTTCCTTTAGGAAAGTCGTTCCCAATTTTTTTTTTTCTGGGTCGCATTTTCGGAATTATAATTTACTCGCACCTCACCAAATGTGATAAAAATATATTTAAAAAAATAACAAAAAAAAACAGACGATTAAGTGTTGATAATCCCGGATTCGAAGTCAGAACATTATCATTGATAACTCTCTCCTCCAATTTACAGAACCTAGTTACTATATTCTTAATACTTGATATAATGCAAAAATATCACAATGATAAAATCGGTCAATAATTATTTATAACTATTTATAGTAGGACTCTTGCATAGAATTACAAGTAATCCATAATAATATTTTAAATTTTGAAACCTGAATTATCAGGTCATCCCATAAGTTCTGTCCGAATTTTAACTTTTTGTTAAAATGAACGAAATTTAAAGAGTATTTTATAATGTCTAATGGAACATTATTTTTATGTTTAGATGCATTTAAACTGATCAAATTTTATTTCAGAGAACAATAAAATTAAATGTTGTTTAATTAAAACCCTGCTAACATGGAAGTACCCAAGAATCATTTGAGGCACATAATGCTTTATGAGTTCAAGAAAGGAAACTCAGCAGGCGAAGCGGCTAGAAGCATTAACTCAGTTTATGGAGAGGAATGTGTGAATGAAAGAACTTGCAGAAGATGGTTTGCAAAATTCAGAGGTGGAGATTTCACCCTTGAAGATGAAGATCGAACCGGACGTCCAGTTGAGTTTGATGAAAAGCTTCTTGAAGCAGCCCTTGAAGAAAATCCTACTTTATCAGTTGAGGAATTGGCAGTGGTTCTCAGTTCAAACCATACAACTGTTCATCGTCATCTTCAACAACTTGGAAAAGTTCCTTAACTTGAAAAATGAGTGCCTCATGAATTGTCAGAAAACAACCTCAACTCCCGAGTTGACATCTGCTCTTCTCTCCATTCTCGCCAACTTGTTTCACCTTTTTTGGATAGACTTGTGACTGGCGACGAAAAATGGATCTTTTATCGAAATGTTAAGCGTCGTAGACAGTGGCTTGATAAAGGGGAAGGACCCCAGCCACAGCCGAGAAGGGAATTTCATGGGCAAAAGGTTCTTCTTTCAATCTGGTGGGATCGCCAAGGAATAATCCACTTTGAATTCTTACCACCTAATGCAACAATTAATGCTCAAATATACTATCAGCAATTAGAGCGTTTGAACCAAGCTTTCAGGAAAAAAAGACCTGCTCTAGTGAATCGAAAAAAGGTGATGTTTCATCAGGACAATGCGCGACCCCACACAGCAAGAATCACGTCACAAAATATCAAAGAACTTGGTTGGGAGAAAATTCCTCATCCACCTTATTCTCCCGATCTTGCTCCCTCAGACTACCATTTGTTTCGTAGCTTACAGTATCATTTGGAAGAAACAGCTTTTGTAACACAGGAAGAGGTTAAAACTGACATTTGTAAGTTCTTCGAATCAAAACCAAAAGAATTTTACAGTAATGGAATTAGTAAGCTTCTTAATAGATGGAAGGAAGTCATAGATTAAATGTAACATTTGGTCACTTGTTTTCTTTATTCAAAATTCGGCCAGAACTTATGGGATAACCTGATGCAGCAGGAGCACTGGACCATATGTGGCAGAAATATTCGAAGCATGGACGATGATGGAAATATGCAAGATGGATTCGAGAGAGAAAAATTGTATAGCACTAGACAATGAATCGACTTTCTTAGCAGCAGACCTAACAATGGATTTCATATAGTCTTTCCACTTCCTATCAGCCGAGAATTTCAGACTGAGAAGACGCAATGAGACACACTCATGGAGAGTAATATCCAAATCTGATACTCAGAGTTTCATGCATGAGGCAGGTATAATTTGAAAGGAATAACTATAATTTGACTTATATAATCAAGGGTGACGGTTATCTGCTACCCGGGATGTATGTATTTTTAATTAAATACTCATTCTTATGTCTACATACGGCTTTCAGTTTGTTAGGTGCGCGCGTGTGTGTGTGTGTGTGTGTGTGTGTGTGTGTGTGTGTGTGTGTGTGTGTGTGTGCATTCCAGTCACAGACACACCCAAAAAGAGAAATTAAATCATTATCAAATAGCTTTATTTCTGAAACGAAATTGACAGGTTTTATATATTAGGTTTTCACATATGAAATTTAGTTTTTGTTTGCCGACTTTTTCACAAAAGTTTTATTGGCATAAATTATTATTTTACCGGCTTACGGCCACATCATGTTAAAACACCGGTTCTTGTCCGATCACCAAAGTTAAGCATCATCGAGCTTCGCCATTACCTAGGTGGGTGATCTCCTTGGAATAACAAGTGCTGAAAACTTTGATGTGCGGGTGGTGTAATGTACAGTAGTTTGGATTTTTAATCGAAGAGCCGAGTTCCAATTCCTATTGTGTTTGTTATATTCACTTACGCGCAAATACAGTCGAACTGTATCTCTAAATCATTATTAGCTGCAAGACAAAAATTTCTTACAATCTAAAATATTATCTGGCTTTAAATAACTTGCAAATAGTTGATAAGCCGTATAAAACGAATACGAACTAAACAAACATTATTTTACCGCTTATTTCTTATTAATCACTTTGTTATTTTTTTCCATAAAAAATATTATTCACAGCGACCAGAAAATCATAAGAATTAAACAATGTCGAATGTTCATATTATACGAGGTCAAATGAGGTCACAATATATTATACGAGGTCAAATGTGGTAACATTTGTCAAAAGCTTAATGAAACATCAGTTTGATACTGGGCAGTAGTATTTTTAATCTAAGAACTCGAAAGAGATGGTTTCTGAAACTTCATTCAAGAGACGAGGGCTTTGAAGATGGACCTAATTCAGTCATAAATAATGATCCTTTGAATGTATTGGTTAGACATAATCCTAAAACTATCCAGAAAACTTCCATAAAAAGGTTGAAACATCTCGCTCGTCTGACAAACGGCATTTAAAATCCATTGGAAAGTTGAAGAATATAGATAAGCTTATTCTGCATGAATTGACTGAAAAGCAAAGAAGGCGACGCTTAGAGGTTTGCGCTATGGCACATTCTCGACTTTAAAGTGAACCATTTTTGCACTAAATCATTACTTGTAGAAAGAAATGGATGCGCTTTGACAACAATAAGCGAGCATAATAACTAGTTGCAGATAAGTCTCCAAAACATCAAACAAAGTCACCCCTGCAGACTAGTAAATAAAGATGGCCCACTTCTGCTCCATGATAATTCACGCCCTCACACTTCACGCTTCACCGTTCAAACGTTTCACAGGATTGGTTGTGAGATTTAGGTGCATTCACTTTATTCACCAGATATCTTTCAGACATATTGTCACTTGTTAAAACACTTTGAGTTTTCCGTATACAACAGAAGATTCTCTAATAGTGAAGCCTTTGAACAAGTGAAGAAATTTTCAAAGGCAAGAAAGACAAAGATTTTTCGTGAGATAATCAGTTTATAGTTGTGTTGCAATTAGAACAAAGCGGGTAGTATTTGATTAAATAAAAGTGGTGATTATCTTAGCATAGCTTAGATGTGGCGCCAGACCGACTGTATAAGGCACCCAATGAGAATCGAACTCACTACTCAGATGTAATGGCTCTATCGATGCAAGCTTGCTAACCATTACACTACGATAAGGTCCCCTGGTGGTTTTCTAAGCATAGCTTAGATGGGTCACCAGTGAGGATTGAACTCACTTTTCAATTGTAGTTGACCTAGCGAGTTAATCTTGCTAAACATTCCACGATGTCGAAGTGCTCTTTGATTAAATAAAAGTGCATTTTGAGTGAATGCAAGTTTGTTTTGTTTTTGTGTTTTTGTTTTTTCATTCATCATCATATGACGTTTCATATGGGACAACTTAACATCAACATAAAAAATACGCAAATTACTAAACTTTATTTTGATAAAATCAATCACAAGCGATCAAAATATTTCCTGATAAGTTAAATATGTTTACTATAAATAATACACGAGGTGCTCCTAAAATGTTCGGGAAATTTGACCTTGAAATATTCTAACACTAACATGCACTTTACACTGCTTCATTCAAATCATCCTCGTGGGCAGCGATCATATGAAAAGTTAATAAACTATATTTGTGAAAAGTTCCTACTATATTCGGTTAACTGGCGTTAAGTTTCTTGAACTTTTGAGTAATAAAGCAGCCCATAGATTCTAAACGGTTGATATTGTAGAATAACTGGTCATGGTTAAATGTCATTGGCAGAAATGCCCAACAAACAGAATTAACAAAATTTACAATAAACAATGCCAAGAGAAAGCAGAGATCAGGACAAAAATAATATTGAGCAAAGAATATATGCAATGCAAAGCAACAGTAATAAGACAGAAAGGTTCACAAATCAAGAATGGTATTAACACACAGAAGGCGGTAGAGACAAGAGATCGCAGCATTCTGGGCTCGGAGATACCCACATTAAACCGGCCTTGTGCCCCATTCAATCCTCGTGGGTGGATCGATAAATAGCGAGCCAGACCTCCGAGTCTAGCTGTCGTGATACAGTCTTTGACTGTAAGCGACGCCTGTCGAACTCTCTGCATTAGCAGAGAGGAACCCGGACGAAGCTTTGCCGAAGGGCAAGGTTTCGTCCGGGGAGGTAGACAGGGCCTGAACCCGTCTAGGCGGGGTCAAAGGCTATATTTTTGGCCGACCCTACGGGCTCGGAGATACCCACATTAAACCGGCATTGTGCCACATTCAATCCTCGTGGGTGGATCGATAAATACCGAGCAAGACCGTCGAGTCGAGTCCAGAGTGACAGAGTAAAAGGTTGTAGGTAACCGGAAGAGTGAGGGTGAGGTAACAGCATTGTAGGAGTCACAGTGAGCGAGCACGAAGACTCAGTAAGAAGTCATACAGCGATACTTCAATACCAAAGACTGTATATATATTTTGCTACTAAACCGTATTCCTGGAACTGCTAACCTTCTTTACTAGTTTCTATTATTACGTTAATACATTATTTTCATATATTAATTCCTGGCGTTTGTTATTTATTGGTAGCGGATTTCAACCGAGAATCCACAACACTTATTTAACAAATATTTTATTTCACGTTCTTCTTCTATGTGCTGTGTCCCTTCAGAATGTTGGCGATCATGGCTCTCCACAACATCCTACCCTTTGTAACACTTTGTAACACTTAAGAAATTTTGTCTTTTAGTTATTTCTCAGAAAAATTGTTCCACCATAAATTTACCCAAGCTCACTAAGTTATGCGCTGTTTTCTTCTGTCCCCTTTTCATCTGTGGGCAGATTGTCCAGCATTCACTGCTGTACAGGAGGACTGATACCAAGTAACATTTCAGTACCCTTTTCTTAGTTTCTAATGAAATTGTTCTGTTTCTTAACACTTTCCTTAACTTTTAAAATGCATCCTTGTCTATCCCAATGCGTCAGTGTTGCACTTTCTGTCCACTTTAAATTTAAATTTTTGAATTTGCTTGATTTTGGTAGCTTCAATTTGTAATTTGCATGTAGGGCTAACAACCATATATTCCATTGCAGTTGATGTTTAGTCCTTTTTTCTCGCTTTCCTTCACTAATTTCTGTATGTGTTCTTGTAGTTTTCTTTCCGTAACTGCTATCAACACTATGTCATCTGCATATCTTCATTACACTAATAATGAATCCTATATTATGTAATGACAAAGTCTTTTATCTATCTATACCAGTGGTTTTCAACCTTTTTGCTGGAGCGTAACCACAAGGAAACATTCCAGTGGCTCGTGGAACCCCTGCAATAAATTAATTCTTCTGCAAAAAAAAAAGCTTTCAATTATTAAAATAAAATAAAAATACTCATCTTCAGATTTATTTACAAAAAATACAAATACAAACTGTAAAATATTGTATACGTACATATGCAATTTTAATCTTGCTTCTACGGTTATTACACATGTATTAAAAAAAAAACTTCAGTTTAAATGGATTACACTTATTTTCATTAAAACTTCAATGAGAAACTTGAGCCTGACGTTTCTTGAACAAATCTTTAATACTGGGTCGTGTTTTTGACAGACACACACGAAGTTCATCTTCCACACATATCTGCACAGAAGAATTAAAAATTACTGTCAATCATAGTACTTGTGTAACTTCTTGCGGAACCCCTGGGCTTTACTAGCGGAAAGCTAGGGTTCTTCGGAACCCTGGTTGAAAACCACTGATCTGTACACATAGATAAAAGACTTTGTCATTACATTAGAAGTTTGTAGTAGGTATGACTTACTGGAAGTTAACTGTTGATTTGGTTTGGGCTCATCACTATAGCCGAGTTAATTTAAAATAGAATTATTCGCTCTAATATAAAAGATGTATTCTTTTCTGAAGTTCATCGTGTTGGTTCGGGCAAAAGTCTGGGAAAACATGTGTACCGACCAGACAGTCCCCTGTAATTCCAGCCCACACATTAATCTTAAGCTGATGCTGATGTCTAGTCTGTATTTTTAGTAGGGATTCAGATCCGTCCACAAATCTTGGTTGCGTAAATTTGTTATTCTGTCTCTTCCAAATGTTGTCTCGTCCGTAAACTAGACTAAAGAGCTAACGGCTCGGCAGTTTGTGTAATAAACCATCGGCAAAAGTTCTCCCGAAACAACGAAAGACTCTACGCACCACATTGCAAATGATACTGTTACAGGAGCTTCTCTTGAAGTACCCTCGATGCAGTACGATGAGATGTACGGGATGCTAGGACCACTTGACGTATGATGATACCAGGATAGTCTACAACAGTCTGCAAAATGTGTTCTCCATGGTCAGGTGTACGAGTGAATCTCGGTCTTCCTCGACCCATAATTTATGGTGACACAGCAATACGACAATAAACAGTAGCAAAGGTTGGATGACTAGGTCTGGAAACGCAATCTGATACAGCCGTGCAGCCTCGCATCCATTACCATTCGGTCATATGTAAAAATCATATCTACCTGCAACACCTGTAAAAATCATATCTACCTGAGTCAGCTACCGAAAACATTCTTTAAACTTAATAACTCGAAAACGAAAGATTTGCGGACATATGTTTATATGGACTTTTGTTCTTGTTTTAATGTGAGGAACACACCCCAAAGTTTGTAAAAGTATTTTTGATTCACCTATATATATATATATATATATATATATATATATATATATATATAGTTTTAAGGTATACTATGTTTATGTGTAAAGTCCTAAATATCAAGAACAGAACGTATGTAAATATAAAAGTGGATACAGATGCCAATGTGTGAACATAATCTACAAGACATTGATGACTGAGTTCATGAAGGAAATAAACTA